TTAGCACGCATGAGCTGCGTGTAAGTGGCCATTAGGAACGTGCGTGACATACACGGCTAAATAGGGCAAGTGGCCAGAGACCATAATGTTAAGTAAATAATGGCCAAACTCCTGGCCCCTTATTATACCACTCGAACCAGAAGTCGTGCACTCGTTAGTGGCGGCTTTTAATTCTCTCCGTGTTCAACCCTTCGCTCCTTTGCGGGCTTCTTCTCCTTCCTGACTCATTCTCACCCTCCCGTGAAGTGCACGCGCGTGCCGTGCATTCCCGTGAAAGTGGACTAGTGCTCCTCACAGCTACCGAAGCGGCCCCGTGGTCCCACCTGTTCGGTCAAGACCAACGCGACCGAGTCATTCCACGTCAAATCGAACTCGATTTGCCATATAATCGTGAATCTATTCTCAGGCACACAGGATTTGTTATATTCCTTGAGAAGACAAGTTCTGCATACTTTGAGTCTTCTAGCTTAACCAGTTAACTGCGATATTACGTTCTTTCAACGATGGATTCATTATTTTTTCAGATAACCATTTAATTCTTCTTTATTTTGCTGTGGTTTCTCATTTAAGTATACCCTCGCAAAATGAGAGATTTTTGGAACTAAATCCCACAGTTAACAGGTTGAACGGCTTGTAAGATATTGAATGTCGAAGTTTTACAAAGTCGTATGGAATGGGAACACCCTATCTGTTAATCGTTGATATTTCTGTTCCACTTCGACCAAATTATTTTGGTTTTAGATGTAAAATCTAGCGATTTTCTACTTTGTAAATTATATAATATTGACGAACACAATCGGATCATTTTCTGTTTGATAGTACAGAAAGAAAAGTACTTGAACATTGATAATAAGAAATGAAGAAGAATTTTTTAAAGTTTCTTCCTTAGAAAGCAGAGAAAAAACGAAAAGTGAGAAATATGATTTGCGATATGGTAGGTGTAGAATGAATTATAATTTTAATCCGATTCGCTTCAGTCTAATCTATATTTGTTTAATGCCGATTGCGAACGAGGCTCCCGAATCTTGAGGCACGATCAAAATCAACTACCTTATGGTATTCCTTTATTGGACGAGGAGTTCTAGAGAGGGAGGATCAATTTACAAGTGTGTAACACCTGATATAACGAAATAATCGTTTGTAACTGATAGGTTTAACCGGAAAGGCAATGATTCTATATGAAAAGTAGTTTTCATTTGAAGCTTAATTTTTTATGAAATCAAAAGTTGTAGTTTATAAATGCACTTAGTTAATTGCATAAGGATGGTACGACCAATAGAACATTTTTTCATTTGAAATCTCGTTTACGACAAAGTCTACTTTGATCATGTGTCGAGAATATCTCAAATATTTTAAAAGCGACGATAACGCGAATTTCGGAAGTATTGCTTATTATTAGTAGCCATCCTCTAAATGTCCAAAATTTTTGGTTTTTCATAATCTAATCTATAATCTATGTAATATTCTGCATCGTTTATTAATCTTTCAATAATTTTCTCCTAAATCATCCTGTGTCATTCAATAATTCTTCTATGGTTGTATCCTAGATTCTTCAATCATTTTTCTATAGTATATGCCCACTCTTTAATAAGTTCCTCATTGCATATACCACATATTTTTCTAATTTATTCACAAATTATCTTACATCTTTTATTAAATATTTCCTAAATTATCCTATATTCTTCAATAACTGTTCCATGATGTATCCTGCTTTGGGATAGTTACTCTACCTTTCAACACATTATCCTACATTCTTCAATAGCTCCGTGATGTATCCTATTTACTATTCTATCCTATTTTCGAATCTGCCAATGATTCGTTTACAGCATATCCTTCAGTAAATCACTCTCCAACAACCTCCCACATCATTTTTCAAACTCTACACCAACATCACTTCAACCCTATCACGTCAACGTCCATTTTTGCGCCGAATAAACGCACATCTTGCGACCCACCAGTGGGTCAATACATCATGAACATGTTAACCCTCATCGGACTTTTTACCAAAATAGACGTTTGTCACTTGTTGCATGACATAGCAAACCACTCCTCCAAATTCAAGATTTTTTACAAAATTTTATACTTCAACGAAACATAAAAAAACAAAATACGTATATGAAACTGCAATTGAAAATGTTAACCTCTCGCGTTAGAAAGACACCACGCACATCTAGATATCTTTATACCAAAATTGTCAATGACGTCTTATACACATCATTAGTCTTGTTACATTACGCATACTAGATTGTTTTGAAACATATCACTCTATACAAAATTATTAATAAATAAAACTAGTGTACATATGTGCATAAAATAGATAAAAACAAAATTCTTCGCGCAAACCTTTACCAAATCTCTGAATTAATTTCTGGGGCAAGAGATTAACACTAAAACTACCGGACCCATTTCAGAACTCTTATTTTACAAGTATTTTAATTATGAAGGCGTTTTTGTGAATGATTTTCAATTAAATTTGTATATTTGCACAAATACAAGACTAGCAGACTCTTCAAATCTCAAAGAACGTATTGTTCTAATTTTTATAAAAAATTGGAAATAAGTTACACTAATTGATCGATAGTTTTAGTGCTAAAATACATGTTGTCACGTAACAATCCAGCAACTCAAATCTAAGAATCTCACGTCTAATAAGGGTTAATCCTTGCACTACTATTTAACCGGGTAAAATCCAGGCCATAATTATAATAACCGATAACTCATTCACGATTTGACCTCGAATCTCACTCGTAACATTAATGTTTGGTCCGAAATTGTAATTACGAATGAGACTCGTTAACCTGTTAACTGTGGAATTTAGTTTGAAAAATCTCTCATTCTGCGCGTAGTAAAGACAAACAATAAAGTGTATACTCGCCAAAGGCAGGGCAAATGAACCTATAAAATATTCTAACGATAAACTAAAACAAAACCAAGAAAAATTACATGTTCGTTTGAAAAAATAAATAATTCATTGTTGAAGAAATTAGTACCATTTTGCGTTTTAAGATGACGTGTATACTCGTCGACCGCAGTTAACTGGTTCAAGTAGTGAAAGGGATTAATTTTCCTAATGAATCTGTTGCGAAATCCCATCCACTCACCTGCGATCCCGCCGACGATCGATTCCTGTTTTTCAACTTTAGGCTGCCGGTACTCATCCTGAGGAAGTCTCTTCCGTTGCAGGAGGCCGCAGTCGGGCTGCTGATGGAGTTGGGTTTGAATGTGAGCGGCCGCGGCCGCGGCTGCGGCTGCCGCCGCCGCCGGAATCGCGAGACCGGCCGGACTCGCAACGTGGGCCGGGTGCGGGGGTGGGCTGCCAGCTGGCGTAGTTGCAGTCGCCGCACCAGGGAGAACGGGGGCGGTGGTGCAGCTGCCTGCATTGTACTGCAATTGCAGCCCTAACTCGCGCGCCTCGCTCTCCTCTTGGGCCTGCTGCCTCCGTAACGCGACCTAAGAACAGTTCCTTTAGTTCACTAATTGGAATCTTCGAAATTTTAACCCCTTACACTCGAGAGACGACTCACAGTCGCCATTTGAATTGACATAAAAAAATTATAAAATTCGATACTCGATATTTAATTAGATGCAATGTAATTAGGTATAAAATATTCAGATAAAATAATTTTATTCCTTGATTTGTTGTAATGTTTCGTGAAAATTGAGACGAGTTGTTTACTGAAATTTTGTGGAAATTTGATTGTTACGAAATTGTAAAGTGAATGAATTTTTAGTAAATTTATGAGTAGGGTTTGCGGTTTTAGTAATTATGAAAGAAGAAATCGTAAATGGGTCAATTTGAAACGGTTGGTATTTCTTTGTTGTGTAAAATGCGAGAAATAATGAATAAGTTGTTTGGCAGGGTAATTTTTAAATAAATGGTAAATCAAGTTACTGCAACTATAGATTGCGTTTTTCCAGGAAAATTATCTTTGAAACTGTAGACTTCATAATTATGAGATTTAGTTGTAAATGTAAATAGTGTAAATATTGCTTGCAAGCATTTTCATTCTTAGCAACGTTTATTACTTATTTAGAAGATCGTCCAATTTTTTCAGAAAATTTAATGTATTAATAACTTCAGTAACTTCAATTTTTATTCATGTAATTTTTACTTCACTGTTCTAAAAAGTAGTCAACAATTACTTAGTTGTGAAGTGTTTGTTATTTATTTATATTATTTACGAGAAACACAGTCTCCTAAGATGCAAATACTAATTCGGAATAAAGAATTACATTTCCAAGTGATTGCTAAAAAATTAAAAATGTGAACGAAGCTGCGCTGACTAAATCAAAAGTTGCCACCTTAATCATCGATTCATTGATTCTCCGACAATTAAAGGATAGCTAATCAATGTTTAATAAAAATAATCTGCATTAACTGTAACAAAACATCATCTAACGTTATATTTCCCCGAATAAAAGATTAATTTCAATATGCAACGATCACTTGAACGCCGACGGCCGTCGCCATCTTTGGTACCAGAGAAAATAATTTTGTAATAGGAAATTATGAGACAGCGAACTTTATACTTATTCTAAATTGAATTGAAGAAATAGGAAAGTAGAAATAAATTAAACGTTGACTTTACACATTTTATTCTTCCTATCATAATTTAATTTTCATCTTCTCAATTTTGAGTTTATATAACTATCCACATGAGTGTTATAATTGTATCTACTTTATTATTCATTTCATGGTCAAGGAAGGTAAGTTAAAACATTATTTGTACCTATTCTTTACAGAATCACATAATTTTTTATGTCCTTAAGAATTTTCTTTAAAAAAAGCATCAAACTGTATATCTCCTAAATCAAAAGACCTAACCAAGACGCTACATCCCTTTTATCATTAAGTGTGTTAATTAATACTTTACTAAATTCATCGCAATTATTATTACACAGCAAAAAAAGTTAACTACCTCATAAGCGCAACGATTTTTCTTACATTAAAATAAAGAAAATGTTTGATTATAGCAAAGCCGTTAATATACTCTGTTTTTGTGAGATAATATTTTCGAAAGAAATTCGTTCGAATATTTACGCTTTGGCGATTATAATTATCTCTGGCACTCTGAAATCGTTTCATCGCAGCACCCATATTTATTTTTAATAGCAAAAAGGCAAATTTATTCATTATCCTTTTATCTCTTCAATTTGACCGCGTATGAACAACGTTTACCTCGAATAAAAGTCGACGTTCGACTGAATAGACATCAATTTCGCGGTGAATCACATGAAGATATCTTCGAAAGATAGGGTACAAGAGCAATCGTGCGGACAACGATATCAAAATGATCCAATAAGAGGGCACGAGGCCGAACGTATCAAAAACTGGAGTGGGTAGTTAGCATCCGCCGGGACCAAGGAGGAAGATGACACATTGATTTGTGATCTTTGTTTATAAAATAACATACATTTATAGTTTACTTATGTTGGTTAACAATTTTCATTTGGTAGAAATAAAGATTTTGTACTTTTATATGAGTTCAAAAGGGTGCTCCCTTTTACCTTATCATTTCAACGAAGCGGATATTTCAATACTTTTGGAAAATCGTATTTTCCTTCGTAACTAAATATTTTTTTTTCAAAAAATCTGTTATTTTCTTACAGCCAAATGTCTACTGCAAAATTCGAAAAAAAGTTTCATGCGTTTATTGCTTCAAATAAGTTGTTATTACGATTCGAAGTAACGCGTTCCATTTTACTCCACCTTCCTCTATCTTAAAATTTCATAACTTTATTTCCGATTAAAAGAAACTTAGACGGTAAATTAACGTTTGGTACTGATCTTTTTTGCAATGACAAACATAATATTGATGTATCTTTCAATAACTTAGGCTTATTCAATTAATACGACAGAATTTTTGGTTGATAATAATGTTGTACAAAAGATACATTTTTTTACTATATAGAAAACCTAATTTGTATAAACATGTAAAGGAAATCTATGTACTAATAAATAATTCACGATTATGTTAATAAGATGGTAGTATGCAGTAGTAAAAAAAATTTCCTTTAAACTTAAACATTTGCTTTGAAAATAAAGTGAAGAATATTGTGAAATGTAGTCAGACGAGGTATTTACTTTTTTTTAAACAAGTAGGTATTAAAGTAGATGAAAATGGCAGTTTTTCATGATGATTTACTCAAGTTAATAATTACTCAAGTAGGTATTAATTGTTCAACTTTTTTATTTTTCTATCCATTTAAAATAAAACATTTAATTATGCATTTCGAATCTTTGTATTTATTCTATGTGTATATACATCTGCCATTCTTTTCTTTTAAATCAATTTGGTTTTCAATTCGATAAACAAAAGGTAACTTTTAAGGTGACAACGGTTGTTACATTCATTATTGTTATACTACTGTGTAAACGCGGCTTATTTTCTCGTCGAATTAAGAAACATAAGAAGGATCAAGAGAAAGAAAGTCGCACGTTTTAAGAGACCCTCTTGCTGATTCTAATTGGATCAGTTCACACTTCCTTGATTCATTTCATGAAACCATGAGAGAGTAAACGGCACCCTCAACTCACGCCCCAAATGAATGCTTTCATAACGTTTTTCTACAAGTATCCTATATAGTTATTAAAATATCAATCCATCAATAATTTTTTTTTCATATGCATGTTTTGATAAATTTTTGTTATTAACCATTACTCCAATTTAAAAAACTGATGAGGAGATAAACCTCGATGCAAGTTATATCGACTATGCAACGACACACATAATAACGAGAGGGAACGCGTGGAAAACAAGTGATTTCTAAACAAAAGAAAAATATGCGGGAGTGGACGCGTCTAAGACGATGTTCGCTTGTTCAACGCGTGCTTATTGCTGCGGTTCGTATGAACGACTCAACAAAAACTTCGTTTGTTAAAAAAAATAGTAACTCTACATTTCTTTGATTCAAGTAGTACGAATTTAATTGTTTCCATACGTCATTATATTATAATATGAGGTGCCTCAAAAATAATTATTTATGTATAAGTTAATGTATTATAACACTAGTAAATGTGAAATGAAATCAATTTACTATGTAACAACACTGCTAACAAAAGAAAAAAACTAGGTTATATCATAAGTTACTTCCGTTTGACATTTCTTCATTTATAACAGAAGTTAAGAATTATTTAATTCATAATCACAATTTTTCCATTCGTATCAACAGTATTTTCTCAATGTCAATTAAAACTAAAGAATGCAAATAACACTAAAATGAGGTTGGCAACAGTTACCAACAGTATTTAACCCTACGCAGTAGCATATCTATTTATCTTACGGCATATTTTCAATTTCAATTTTACATAGAATCCGCAGGGTAAATACGTATTATTAAATAGTATTACTCTACCTGGGCAGCCATAACACGTTGCCGCTCGGCGATCAGGGTACATTTCGCACACACGCAGTCCCGCCAACGACAGTATCGTTTGTGACCCTTCAACGCGGACACGACACCGTGGTTCCGGCATCTCGCGCACTTCGGTGTCCTTTGGTATCTCTCTGCACTGGCACGTAGGAAGAACGCAGCCGGCAGCACGTGATGCTGTTGCTGTTGCTGCTGATGCTGCATCAGTTGGCCCACGTCGACACCAAGACCGACACCCCGCGGCAACGACATGGTGTCGCGGAATTGGACCAACAAATTCCAAGAAAGAAACGGAGACAAACCAACGAATATCACTGAACAAGAAACGTTCGCGTTAACAATCTTCACGGCCAGGTATCGTCATTACCAAGGCAATCACAAACGGCAACGACGTCCTTTCAAACAGTTCAAAAGGTATCACGGTGAACGCTGGTCTCTTTCGTCCGAGCATAAAGCCCAGTGCTCACTGACACGCGCCGTTCTCATTCTAACTAAAAACCCGTCAAGTTAATCACCACCGACGAATAGTCCTTCGTCACCGTAGACGCATATCCCTGGGGGAACCCCCGGCTCCGCGACTTCCTTTTGGTCCGTTTCCGCGTTCCAGCGGGGGAGTCCCCGGTGTACTGTGTCAAGGGATCCTAAGCTGAAGTCGAAGGCGAATCCTCTCACACGCGATCGTTACTCGCCGTGGCTATAGAGGAGATAGCCGGCTAGGGGATGGGCGGGAGGGGAAGAGGCGTCGCTCGGCCGAGTAGCGACGACGGAGCGCGGTCACACGGGCTCTTCTTACTTCAACCGAAGAAATCACATTTAACGCCGCGTCCGCTGGAAACTCTCGAACCGCGGCCTAGAGAGGGGGGTGGAGGCACGACGACAAGGGACCACGGCTGCTGCTGCTGCCGCTGGTGCGAGCGAGACGCGGTCGGGTAGGTGGCAACGATGACGACCGTGGTGCGGGGAGCGAGCTCGGCGTGGAACTGGCGGTGGCGGCGACGCGCACGCGCCCGCGCGCCCGATGCTATGCCGGCGAAGAGGAACGGCTACGACGACCACGACCACAGCTCCATCGTTCGTACGGGTGTCGGGGTACGAAATGTGGGATCCGGCTGACTTCTGTGCGCGCCACTCTCTCTCGCTCTCCGGCATTGTCAACAATTGCAGCATCCCGGGGTGAGTCGATTCAG